TTTTTTTTTTTTTTTTTTAATTTGGTGGAACTCGTGTTGCAATTCTGCTTTTGGTTCGAGGTCACGAGTATCTGGTCACATGTGTATGATGCTGATTGGTTTCTGAAGTTCGCTATCGCTCATTTTCCTTGCATTTTTGTCTTTTTTTTGGGGGGGGAAAGCATCAAGTTGGAGAAGTTGTTTTCCGGGTTGTTTGTGGAGGGATTCCTGGCCTCCCTCTTTTTGTGTGAAATATAATGAGCAGAGTCTTTCTTGTAAAAAAAAAAAAAAAAAAAAAAGAAGTTGGAGAAGCCCCACGTTTGGAGTTGAGCAACCTCCAAAAAGTGGGCGACGCCTTTACGCGATTGGGAGCTGTGCCCTGCTGGAAACCGGGTCCAGCGCTCCACTGATAACAACAGAGCTGTGACCAATCTCGAAACGACACCTTCTTCACCCGAATACAACGTACGGTCATTATTGCTGTATTTAGACTGAAACATACCCCAAATACATACAGCTATAATGACCGTACGTTGTATTCGGGTGAAGAAGGTAGCATGCATCCTTTGGGGGTTAAAATTGGAACGATTCAGAGAAGCTTAGCATGGCCCCTGCGCAAGGATGACACGCATAAATTGAGAAATGGGTCAAATTGAAAAAAAAAAAAAAAAAAAAAACGATGAAGAAGAAGAAGAGAGAGAGAGAGAGAGTAGCATGTGGCACATCCGTTAAAATGGGAACAATAGAGAGACAGAGAAGACTAGCATGGCCCCTGTGCAAGGATGACAGTGGCTTTGGCCCCCTTGATGATTGCGCTACAGCTGTGGGCCCGAGCACAGTGCACCCCGATCATGAATGTATACAGGCTATCTTTCTGGCTCTATACAGTCAGAATGAGGCTGTGTTGTGTTTCGGGGGAAGAGGGGTAGTACTCCAAAACAATTGGAAACAGAATGAGCACACGTGGAAGTATGATCCTCCTTCCTACTTCTTTGTGCCTCCCTCATCTACACCCCCCCCCCCCCCCCCCCCCCCCCCCCCCCCCCGCCCCCTCCTCCCTTCTCCTTCATCCTCCTCCCAACACAACCACAGCCCCTGTCCGTCCACCAGCCCCACCCTGAGTCCACATCGCACTTGTGTCAATTGAAATTTGAAACCACAATGAAACCATAATATACTCGACCGAAATGAATACGATCTATGACCGAAATGAATACGATCTATGACCGAAATGAATACGATCTATTGAGGCATGCACGAAGTAGCGCAGTCTGTAACATATAAAATTTTATAAATACATCACAAGTGTCTATGTCCCTCCCTCCCTCCCTCCCTCCTGAAATTTTGGAAATTTAGACCAATGTTGTATGCATACTAATCACTTCCACGCATGTTTTTTTTTTAACTCGTTACTCGTTTTTCAGGTTTTTGCTTTTTCTTTAACACGGTACTTAATTATGATGCAGGGGACGGCTAGGGCACTATGAGGGGGAAAAGCCAATGTCAGGCTTCTATGCATTTCTGCTCTGTTTACAGGTATAATAAGTAACCTTCTTTTTGTTTTGTTTTTGTGTTTTGAAAGCAACATTACCCTCGGTGGTCCAACATCGGTCCGCGGAGACCTCGGTCCGATCTTGGGTCCGCATGATGGTTCACCCCAAACTCTGCAACTTTCCTCTTTGCCTTCACGCCTGCATAATGAAAGCAA